TTGGTCTATAATGATATTTATGGAGAAATAGACCATCATGTAACAAGACAGAAAATTAACCCTAGGCTCAATTAGTTTTTTATATTTTTACTCCAAGTACTGCGAAGTAGACAATTGGTTCAGGTGGGAACCACGAGTAGGGATAAGGATGTGTAACTACAAAAGGATTTTTTTCATCTCTGATGATGTTTATTCCAATATATTAACATTATGAATAGACTATTTAGATTAATTAATAGCAAAAATATTATCCTAAACAAACTATTTAGATTAATAAGAATAAAGAATAACAATGTTATCCAAAATTATATTTTTTATTGGAATTGGTCAGTCAATTGGAAGATTGTCCATATTCCTAAAGTACGGACTACTTAATAGGAATGTATAAACCACTTAAACAAAATTTGAATTCGAATAAAAAAACAAACTACTTAAACACCTCAAAAAAACTGAAAAAATTCAAATAATATAACACTGACGTTGGGTAAGTGTCCGTTAGGGTTCCTTTACTTTACTCTTTCTCCTTTCTCTCTTTACTCTTTCTTCGTTTTCAACCTGTCTTCAAGCTTCGTCCAATTTTTGTATTTCTCGAAGGCGTACCATTTCTCCACGTTGTTATCAATTCGTGTTGGTACCATCCTCGATCGCGTACCATTTCTCGTAGGCGTGCCAGATCAAAGGTGCAGTCCGTTTCGATGGCTTGTTGTTTTTCAAAAATGTTAACTTTTCCAAAATGCAAATTCGTGTTTGCTCCTAAGTAATATATTTTCAATATATTTTATCAAATATTTTCTTTATTAAGGTTTTTAATGAATGAATAATTTTTGCTTTTTAATTTTAATATTCATCTTTTCAATCGGCCTCAACAATGTTGTGTCAATCGGGCTCATCGTTGGAAAAGGAAAACTATGGACATCATTATTAGAAACCATTTGCTCCAAAATAGTTTGGGTTCATCGATTGTTCTGCTGATTTTGCTATGATGGTTTTCGTGTTATGATGTATCTTTTCTTACTTTTTATTTCGGTTCATCGATTGTTAGACCCTAACTAGTTTGGGATTAAGGTGATATTGGTGTTCATTTTGATGTTCTGCTATGAATTCATGGTGTTATATACTTGGTCATTGAATTAGTTTTTTGATGTATGTTAAAGGGTGTTGTTAGTTTGGTTTTAAGTTTAGGCTTTTTCAAGGATTTTGAATGGTGAAATTGTTTGTGTGCTAATTTGGATGGTTTAATATATTATGTCCTGATTATGTAATCGTATTGTGACTAAATAATGTTGAAGGATTTGATAATGATGTGCTGCTTGTTTAAACTTAAAGCAAACGGTTTCTTTATTAAGGTTTAGGATTGATTGTGATAAGGAAAACTATTTTGTAGTCATAACAGTAAGCCTTCTAAAATCTGCTTTACAAGATCAGAATATGAACCAAATTAGATAGTTGGAAAAATCCTGAGTTTCACTAACATATATACTTCTTGATGTAGAAATAGACAAGGCAGAATAGGAAAGTTCCATGATGTTCATTGGTTGAGAGACTAAGATAAAGAGACATGTTGGTTAGCTGAGAAGAGAAGCCCAATATTTACATTGAAAGCCGGTTCTATTGTAAATATCATAAATATTTGGTACGATGTATATATTTACATTGACAGCCTACTTTCACCATGTTTTTGAAAACATGAAATTTTGGTGATGAAGTTTGTACAAGTTTGTTGTTAAAACACTGGCTTTTCTTTTCGATTACATGAAAGTTTACAAGTCTTTTGTTTCATTTTAAATTATTTGTGATGTTCTGTTATGTTCAAGATTCCACAAAATATTTGTACTAATGCTTGTTTTATTCTATACTGATTGTATTTTTATGTATTGGGGATAGATTCTAATCTTCATTGGCTTTTCCTTTTTCATTTTTTTTTGTACTTTTTGCATATGAGTAGTGTTTTGAACTTAAGGTTACAATCATGGGGTTCTTGAAAGCAGCTCGTGGAGAGTACTTATATGTAGATATGGTAGGATATGGTATTGAGTTATAGCTTATTTATTTTTCTCATTTATTTTTGTACTTTTCTTTCTTTTTATTTTTCTCTTGTATAGCTCATTTATTTTTACATGTAATTGGTTCTGTCTCTCTTTTTCTCTTTTATCATTTTCTGATCATGGTCTTTTCTGTTGTGTATGCTCTGCACATGTCTCAAATGTTTGTTCACTACCACTCATCATTCGTGTGGAATCATTGATGTGGAGACCCCTTCAAGTCATTTGTTTTTCTGTTATCATAATGGGTTCATTGTTTCAGTTGCCATCTTTTCAGTAACTCGAAGGTACTATGGGTGGAGATAGGAAACACATAGGTGGGTGTGAAAGTTCATTTTGCGGGCAATCTTCATCTTTATCGTCATCAAAGCTGAAGTTGTGCGACTGTGGAGAAACGATTGTGTTGCGTATGTCTCGAACAAACAAGAATCCACGAAGGATGTTCTATGGATGCCCTAACTACAAAAGAGGTGACAACTGTGATTTCTTTGAGTGGCTTGATGAACCAACTTACCCTAACTGCATACACAAGGATAAATTGTTGCAACTCTATGACAATTTGTTGAAAATATTGGTAGCAGTGCTAATTATACTTGGAATTGTACATGGGATTACCTTATATAAGATGTAAAAAAACTTGTTGACTAGGATATTTTATAGGCTTAGGTTTCAAAGGTACATTCTGTTTTATTTTGTTTGCACATCAAAAGTCCTTCACTTTTCTAGTTGAGCTTCAAAGCATAATAGGGTGCATTGCATAATATTTTAGGCTTCTCTTGATTAGTATTCATATTTTATTATATTATATTTTGAATTTATGATGATATCAATTTATGCCTCACATGCACAACAACATTACTCTCTCTTTCCCTGTTCTTTCCCCAATCTTCTCAAGGGAGGTCTTCCTTCCCTAGCTACTACAAAAGAGCTGATGATCACATTTGGAAGTCCTAAAAAAAAATTTCCAGTTCCAAGTGAAAGAACAAGTCACAGCTAAGGAGCAATGTGATATGTATACGGTCTTCACGTGTATATTTAAAACACAGAATTGAACTTTACCAAATTATAACACTTCCATCCCAATTAATTGTGGAAATCTCACTTTATAGTTTCGACTTAATCTTGGCGTCCATGCTTGACACTTGTATGAAATAAGTATATTAAGCCCATGCTAGCAATTGGCACTTCAAATTTGGAAGAAATACAATAAGGCTATGCTAGCAATTAGCACCTCTAATTTCAAATAATATATTTTATAGATGAAGTTTAAAGTGAATATGTACTACTACCTTGTATATAATTTCTGAATTACATACAAGACAAAAAAGATGAGTACCAATTTAGATATTTCTTGTATATACTTGAAAAAAATACAACTTTTTCTAGTGGAACGTCTTTACTACATTACTCTCTTTTTTTTAAATGATAATACTAATAATTTGTAATATTTACGTGAGTAATAATATATTTTTACTATATCAAACACAACTTATATATACAAGAAATATTTTGTTCACGCAAATATTTGAAAAATTGAAATTAATAATGGTTCATACATTATAATCGAACCTTCTGCATAATTACGCCTTCCGTTGGATTTTCATGTTTTTCACTTTAATAAGTAATATGTAGTCCCACCATTAAGTGTGTTTTTCTCCAACAAATTTATAAAAAAATTGAAATAACATGATATTTTGGTAATTTTCCATCAAAATTATCAGTCAAAATCAAAAGATAAAATAAAACGTTACGTACAGATGCTTCTTTATTAACAAAACCGCCTTTGTTTACCAAATTCCGCCTCCAAAATTCGTTTCAGGGCGGTTTGATTTCAAGCGCCTATGTATTACCAATAAGAACGACGCCTATGTATTACCAATAAGAACGACGCCTTCCCAAAGCCGACAACCAAACCGCCTTTGCTTTCTGCATAATCGATGACGGTTGAGAACAAACGCGGCCTTACCCGCCTCAGAAAACCTTCATACTGGGGCGGTTACGATTAAACGCCAGTATTCCGACGGGTTGTTCTACAAATTTTCGACGGTCAATTTTTCCGCTTGCAAAACCGCCTGCATTGTTTCATCGAAGGCGGTTTCCTAGTAACCGCCTGAATATATCCGACGGCATTGCCCACTTTTCTTGTAGTGATAAATACACAAATATAAATTGATAGACACATTTAATTTGAATAATTAAATAACTAATAGATAAAAAAAATAAAAGTACAACCTGTTTATCTGTTTAGATAAAATGATTATATAATAACGTACCTTTGCAATTGTGTAGTGCTATGTTGCACTAACACGTTACACGGGATATACATAACACGATATTTTGATATGATAATTATAAAAAAGTTTAGATTTCGACATGTTAAGACACGTTTTAATATTACATAATATTTTTAATTTATGTAATGAATATTATATTTAATATTTAATAATTAACATAAAAATAAAGTTAAACTTATAATATCTATAAATTTTACAAATAAATATAAGATATCTCATATATTTATATTAAACTCAATAGAATGTCGTAATCTAACGAATTTAATACTTGGAATTAAAAACGCAACGCAACATTCAAACTTTTTTTGAGTATCTCAACCTGTGTTGAAGTGTCATGCAGGGTAGGAATATCAGAGAGTGTCATAAAGTGTCGGTCACCATACATTAGATATTTTGAAGTGTCATCTCATAAGTATAGCGTAGCCGGTAGCGGCATTGAAAAAGGTAAGTTCCAATAACAAATCATGGGAAAGATTATATTTACAAAATTTTTGTTTATAACTCTTATAAACTACACTGGATATGATTTGCGTACTTCAATCAATCAAGAGTGTATCAGTAGTTGTTTTGTATACAAAATTTGTATACCGTTACCAATACTTCCCCAACAAATCATGGTTGTTATCGTTACGGGTGTGGCATGTTTCTCCCTCAAATGGGGGGAAAACAAGCATATCAAAACACCAAAACAAATAGCAAGGGGACCCGCGAATGTAACTGTATCTTCCCATTCTCATTCCCCTCGCCTTTATGGCTTTGAATACCCGACCGAGTCAACTTGACCCTTACCGTTTTCTCTGAATATCAATTCTGCTTCTGCATCATCACACTTTCACACCTCTCAGATCTCAACCGAGATTCTCATCTCCAGGTAATCACCTTCGCGTTTCCAGTTCAGATGCATAACTCAACCTCACAATCACTCTTCTTCAAAATCACGTTTGACTAGCGGAGTTTTGCATCCTAAGCACTTTCAATGCTCAATCACTTCATATTATTATCCACAATTATTGATCGTCGCTGAATTTGAGAATAACTTGCAGTAATTATGCTTTCGAATCACTTGTTAATCTCTGTACTCGCAATCTCTCTTCAGTGTTGCAGCTGAATGCGACCATGGCTTCTCGCAACTCCGACTCCAACTTCTTGAAGACCTTTGGGATCCCGAAGCACGTGCTCGTGCCGGAGTCTGAGGTTGAGGATAGCGAGATCGATCGTGATGGACCGAAGTGTCCGGTGCTCGTTTTCGTTAACTCAAAGAGTGGTGGTCAGCTGGGAGGGGACCTCTTGAGAACGTATCGTGCTCTTCTTAACAAAAATCAGGTGCTGTTAATCTGCGATCTTTCTAGAATCTTCGAGTTCGTGATCTTGATATGCAGGGCTGAGGAGTTCGTTTGATTTTTAGGTTTTTGATTTAGGGGAAGAGGCTCCTGATAAGGTTCTGAGCAGAATCTATGCTAATTTGGAAAACCTCAAGCTTCAGGGTGATCAATTTGCTATTAGGACTATGGAGAGGTTGAGATTAATTGTGAGTTGAGACTCTTTTTGATGAGTTGATGTTTCAATAGACATTGGGGTTTTCTTTAAGCAATTTTATATGCAAATTGTGGTTTTGTTTTTTGGTTGATTTTTTTATATGTACCTTGACTTTAGGTTGCAGGGGGTGATGGAACAGCTGGCTGGCTACTTGGAGTTGTTTGTGATCTCAAATTATCTCATCCTCCACCCATAGCCACGGTTCCATTGGGCACAGGGAATAATCTACCATTTGCATTTGGTTGGGTAGGAAATTGCAGTTCTCTATTCTTTGCTTTTATTGAAACTTTGAAGTACATGTAAGACATTATGCTGACTCTGCCACGACTTGATAGTTTACGAGCTGCAGTTTTCACATAAAAGGTTTTAATTGTCCTGATACCTGTTCCTTGCTTGACTGGATGCTCTTTAAGATGAGCATATTATGCTGGTTTATTCCTGAATTTTTTCCAGTCACCATTTACTAGTTTTTTTTTTTTTCTTTTTTAATTACCATCAATTGTTTTCTTGTATACCTAAAGATTGTGGTTCCTACGATGTCCTTCAATTTCAAATAATATTTGAGGAAGCTTGCAGTAATAGCTGTGACTGTGATAATAGATATTATCAGAAAAGTACCACAAAAAAAATGATTGAAATTAATTTCTGCTGCTTTATTACAGGGGAAGAAGAACCCAGGAACAGACGAACACTCGGTTGAGTCATTTCTAGATCAAGTAATGAAAGCTAAGGAAATAAAAATAGACAAGTAATGAATTTTGGCCCTATTTCGTCTTATAATTAAGTATTATTTTGTTGTTCTGCTACTTAAATAACTCACATGATCTTTATGGTTCCATTTCCTTCCTTTTATTCAGGAAATACTTCAGGTGTCCTTTTTATTGAATATAATTATACAAAAGTTGCCAGTTTATGATTACAATCCTGAATTTATTTTGAGCAGGGTTAATGACAGTATAGTTGTGGTAGCTGCAGTACCAGTTACTATAAAATCAATTGAAAACTTATGATTTCCTTTTTGATTTACTAATTTAATTTTCATTTTGTGGATACATATGATATTTTCTTCTGTGATGCGTTCACATACATTGTTAATCTTAAACTAATCATGCTAGCTGTTGTTTAATATTATTATCGTCGTTCACTATCTTTTATTCATTATTTTGTTCTCATATGGGGCATTTTAGTGGTTGCTCTAGTTTAGCAGGACTGTAGGACTGCTTTGTTTCTTGTTTGGAGTTTTGATTTTGTCCCTTACTGACTCCCGTCCTTAATCCTCCTTAATCCAAAGCAAATATATGATGATTGTTTAAGGGCTACAATTTGTTCAAGATCTTTATCAGATTTTTTTGTAGATTTCTTACACTGAATGCTGTCTGCTGATAAATGGTGTTTGTTTTTCTAAATCCTTAGCTGGCACATTCTTATGCGGATGAGGGTTCCGAAAGAAGGTCCCTGTGATCCAATTGCACCTCTTGAGTTACCGCATTCTTTGCATGCCTTCCATCGTGTATCTGAGGCAGATGAACTTAATATGGTAAGACATTAAACCATTCACTATTTTGCAATCTTATACTACATCTGGTTCATGGTTACTGGATGATGCTGCGACTTCAGGAATTTCAAGGTAAGGTACCTTGAGTTTCATATGCTATATTTTCTGATTTAAGTGAGATTTGGCATAGCTATAATGGTTGGCAAGTTCTTGGAAGAATGTATGGATGATATAGGGTTTGTATCTACAATTATACCTACTATGGGGGTGAAATTTTTATTTTGAATTATTATGGCCACGAGCCTTGTTTTCCACAATCATGTACAATAAAATATCTGCACATTTTAATATTTTATCCTTCTTTTAACTAACGGAGTTTACATAGTAAAAACTGAGGGGTGACAGTTGTTGTTCAAAAATGTTTTGTTTCAATTTGAGTTTTTACAAGTTTTGACTTCTTTTCTACTCATCATTCCTTGTGTGGTTGTTTCTTACTGCTCCTCAGGAAGGTTGCCATACTTTTCGTGGGGGATTTTGGAATTACTTCAGCATGGGTAAGAATTGCTTTTCCTGGGTACTTCTATACTTGAACTTTACCTTGCTGGTTATATAATTTCATTCTCCACTTACGAAGAATTAGTTGATTTAGCTGGCACTTCATTATAATATTTAATTTTGTCTGTTTTACATCCTTTGATCTTGGTAAAGTATTATCAAATTATGACAGCGAAAAATCCAGTTTAAATTAGCAACAAAACTTTAACCTTTTTACACAAGCTGAAAAGTATGGATATGTAATGACGGAAACCTAATTTGTGTGATGTTATATTAGCATGCTGATTAAGTAAAATTTATTGATTGCTTTCATCATAATTGTTGATTGTTTTTAGCTTGATTATTTTTAGCTTCTCGTAAAACTTATTAGGGGAGCTTTTTTTTCCCTCATTCTATAAATCCATCTTACTTCAACAGTTGTTAAAATGTCCATGACTCCTGACTGTAGGAATGGATGCTCAAGTGTCTTATGCATTTCATTCTGAACGAAAATTGCATCCCGAGAAATTCAAAAACCAGTTGATTAATCAGGTATGCTATTGTTTCTGCAGCAATCATAGTGAATACATAAAAGCATTGTGCAGAAGGTAAAAATACTGCTTTGACTTTCTCACTCTTGATTGGAAAGCGTATATAGTTTTAGACCACCGAGATGTACTTTCATCCTCTATTTTTTTGGGATTGATTTTGTTATTCTGATTTCAATCATGTCAGAGTACTTATGCTAAGCTTGGGTGCACGCAAGGATGGTTTTTTGCTCCTCTATTCCATCCTCCTTCCAGGTCAGTTCATGTAGATGTATCATTGATTGGACAAAGGATTTGTTTGTTTTCCTTTTATGATTTTAGGTTGTTTTTGCCCACCTCATTAAATTCATGAACCATTTAATATAGGTCCATTTACATTCATGAAAGTATATGCAACGTAAGTCCCATTAGAAATCTATTTCTTGGAATTAGTTAAATGGGCATCTTCCAACTGGTTCCCTAAATATAAAGGTATCTTGAATTCAATTTTACTGTTTTGGCTTATGAATCGTCAGTATGCTGAGTTCTCCATACATCTATAAATATGTTAATTCAATAGTTAAGTTGGCACTACTTAGTGCAGCTTCAACAGCGACAAGGTACAGTTGTTAATGATAAGCTCAGGGAATAGATTATCAACATTATCAACATTCCCTATATTTAGAAATTTCTAAAGCTTGATAGATAGCATTTTCTAAATCTAAAAAGCACGTGATATCTTTGTTGGTGGCCTAATTATTCCCTATATGAACCGTCCGTGGATATCCTATTATGCTAGAGGAAACACTGAATTCTAAAATATACTGCAATCCCATCTTCACAGTGGGTCATGCCTGCATCCCCTGATGTCCCAGGATCAACTGAGCATATTTTTCAGAATTCCAGTTTCACTAACCCATTTACCAGGTAGGCATCTCACCTTTTAGGAAGGTATGGGCTTTGATAATGGTGCTGGCCCGTGAGTGGAACTAAGAAGCTACAGAAATACTCTGTCACTGCATCATGCATCAGTATGACAGCATTCTTTGGATTCCTCTAAATACCATTTTATTTAGTTTTAATTCTAACCAATGAAATCATAAAATTAAAAGCAATAGCTATTTTTTTTGCTATTTTTGCTAGTCCATAGATTGGAATGTACACATGAGAAACCTATTTTCATCAAAATATCATAATTAGAGAATTCTTTTAGGATTTTTCCTTCTGTTCAGATGTCAATTTAAATAATATAAATGGCTGTAACTTGTAAATACGGTGCTTACTATAGGAGACTGAGAACAGGTCTAGCAATTTGAATGTTTACGTAGTTCTTTTCTTTTCCCTTCTTTTCTTATAATGCTAGTTTAGATTGGTCAAATGCACACGCATATGCACAAACTACGCATACAATATCAATCCTTCACAGGTCCATCTTAAGCATTTTTTTCAATATATATTTTTTACTTAACCAGTTAAGTAAATGTAATTTGATCTTCTAATGCAGGAACATAGCACATCTTGCAAAAGTGAAAGTCATGAAAAGGCATGGTCATTGGGAAGACTTGCACATACCTTCCAGGTAAATCATTCTGTACACGCATATATATCTTCTTTTTTTGGGTTTTATTGGAGGTGTAAGCTCTTGAGTAGTGGAGGGGAAAAGATAGTCTAGTGGGGGATTGAACCTCTAACATCGACATCATACTAGAGTCTTAAAAACTTGTGCCAGTGTCAATTAAGCTACGAGCTGATTGCCATATATATTTAGCAAAGCAGAAAAGGGAAGGTAAAACAAAATTCAGGTCAGCAGGAAAATGCCTGCATTTTTGAAATGCCAAAGGGCAAAGACCCAAAGCCACACTTAACTAAGCTTTGATAGCTTTCCAACACTATTGCCCATTCAATTTTATTCAAAACTTCATTGCTTTTATCATTGATGCTCTTGTTAATTGTTGGATGATTAATGTCTCATCATATTGACAACTTCTTGAGTACGGATATTTTAAAGTAAAAAGGCCATTTAAATCAACTTTCCTTCTTGTCCACCTGCTGTTCTTTCTGCTCCTGTTTGCTTCTTGAATAACATCTAATATTTGTTTATTAACCCTATTTCCATTTTATATGCAGCATCCGGTCAATTGTATGTCTTAACTTGCCTAGCTTTTCCGGTGGATTGAATCCATGGGGTACACCAAACAGGAAGAAGCAGCGTGATGTAAATTTCATAAGCTACTTCTGAATTATTTTATTTAGTAACTTTTTACCAGTAAGTTTTGAGGTCAAGTACTACTCTACTAGTAGTAGTATTAGTACTAAATAACATATTTTTATGCAATCTTTTTGTCAAAAAAAATAAATAAAAAATCTAAGTATGCTATTTTGATTGAATGCAGAGAGATTGGACACCTCCATATGTAGATGATGGCCTTATAGAGGTTGTTGGTTTTATAGATGCCTGGCATGGGCTTGTTTTGCTTGCTCCAAAAGGACATGGAACTCGCCTTGCTCAGGCATGTTGATACATTGAAATATTGGATACACATTTGCACTTGTACCTTTTGATTCTCAGAACACATTTTTCTTAAATTTTATTCTGGAAATATTAAAATTCGCTCACATATAATTAAGTTTTTGTACCAATTATTAATTTTTTTTCTTAGTTTTAAAATTTAATAATGTCTTGAAATTATGTTGGCATTAGGCACACCGAATCCGCTTTGAGTTTCACAAAGGAGCAGCAGATCATACATTCATGAGGATTGATGGGGAACCTTGGAAGCAACCCCTACCAGTTGACGATGATACTGTTGTGGTAGAGATTTCTCACCATGGCCAGGTCAACATGCTTGCAACTCATGATTCCAAAGCTAAAAGTGTGTATGATCGGTCATCACCATCGCATAATGATCCTGAGGAAGATGATAGTGATGATGAAGACTCTCTAGCAGATGAATTTCGGAAATTTGGTGCTGCAGATACATTTAAAATCCCAGATGAGGTAGATCTTGCGCATCTTAGTTAGATCTGTCACTATTAAGCCATTCTTTAGTGTTATGCAGTTGACATTACCTGCCCAATCCCTACCTGTTAAGTCCTTACAAATATTTGTCGTTGCCCCTTTCAATTGCATCACCTATTTGCTCAATTCTAGCAGCGCTATGTCTGCAAACTTGTAATTAAGAATTGAGATTCAATAATTGCTTTGTTCTAAACGTTCTTAGAGCTGAAATACATAGATTTGTATTCTGCTCCACCTGTGGCAGGCCTTCAGTGTCGGTGTTCAAGCTAGGCATGTAGTGAGAATCCTTTCTGATTTCTTCTGTGGCGTCAAAAAACTAGGGTCTAGATTAATATAGTAATTAATTAAGGAAAATTATCCAAAAAGTTTTCAATTCATTTTGTTTGATCGGCCATTTAATTCATTAGAATGTGACAAGGATAGTGTACTTTGGTGCACATTGCGTTCCTCTCGTAATTACACAAATGGGGGAAGTTCAAATTGAATATGCTCTTTTTAATATACATCTGCGTGGCTTTGGAGGAGGGAAGCAAAGTAAGGCCGCCCGAAATCGCTAATTCACCAGTAATCTCTCTAACAAAAGAACAATAGAGGATCCTACAATAATATTATAATAAAAATAGTATAAAGGACTCTTTAGTAAAAAGGGGAAGGATATTGTGACAACCAAGTTGTGTTATTACCAAGTGACTATCAATCAATCTCACCGTTTGATCGATTTATGTTGATCCAACGGTTATATTTATTTCCATCTTTGTATGGTCATGATTCCCCATGTTTAAAGTAAAAGCATTAAATATGAGAAATCATAACTATACAAAGATGAAAATAAATATAAAGTATTAAATTTGAAAAATCATGACCATACAAAGATGGAAATAAATATAATCGTTGGATCAATATAATCGATCTAACGGTAAGATTGATTGGTAGTCACTTGGTAGTAACACAATTTGATTCTCACAATATCCTTCCCTTAGTATAAATTAGTGTCTGTGCAAAGGAGATGAGATGTGTTTACATCATTTAATTTAATAATTTAAAAATAATATACTTACAATCTATTTTTGTTTACAATCTCTTACATTATATTTTAATTGTTAATTTTCGTGAATCTCACAATTATAATTTATTAACGGAAATCATCGGTTAAAATGTGATTGTAAGAAATTGTAAACGAAAATAGATTATAAGTATAACCTTCCTCTTAATAATTTAATGTAAAATATAGTTTTTTGGTGTCAAATTTTATAAAAATTAAACAAAAAAAAATCAAATAATTTTTATTTTCATATATTTCAAAACCATATATTATGTTAATCTTTATATATATATATCAATGAAATGCTAAATAATTGTATATTAATATAATATTTTATAAATACGATTTATATGATAGAAATTTTCAATTGTCTTTATATATATATATATATATATATATATATATATATATATATATATAGAGGTTTGCATTCATCATTTCGTAGATACAAGGTATGTTTTGATGATAACAAAGTGGCAACAACAAAAAGAGAAGAGCTTTGATCAAGAGCAAAAAGCATCAACCAATGTGGATATTGAAGATGTATGATGTAGTCACACAAGAAGAGTGATGTCATATCAAAGTAGCAAAATCATTGGATCAAAAGCAACAAGGAATAATTAGAAAAGAAACACTAAGATCAAAGACAATTAACCATGAACAACATCTAAGAAAAGCTCACTATCATAACCATGGTGAAAAATGATCAAAACCAACAAAGTGCCAAGCATTGTCATATTCAACAAGTCAACGCATCAAGTTCAAGAAAAGATCCAAGACACAAGACATGAAGCTAAGTCTAAAATCATATTTGGAATATATCTTTAGGACTTAGAATATATGTGAAGGTATATGGTAGATTGCATTGCATAAGCTCAAAGTTTTTCTCAAAGTAAACGTGTTTTTCAAATTGCATAATCATAATCTTTATATACTTGAAAGAAATTTGAAAAATCCAAGGAAAAGATCTTTGACATATTTTATAACTTCAAAACATATTTATCAAGTCAAGATCTTTCACAAAAAGTGGTTGGAAGCAAGCTAGAACACATTTGAACCAAAAATCTGTTGCTTAATTTTTCTGCTGTCTTCCATACAACTTTTCGTATCTAAGATGATGGATTTGGATCTTGTGTTCTTCATAAAAGTTGTAGATCTTTTTTTATCTTTCCAACTAGACCAATATCACATCAATCCGACAAGTATAACTCAAGTTATGCCCAAAATACGAAACAGTGACCTTGCTGTCAATAAAGTATTCGAATACCTGATGCAGTATTCGAATACCTTATTAAGTATTCGAATACCACACGAAAAGTATTCGAATACTTGCTGGGCAGAAGGCCTATAACGGCCATAAACGACTATAAATGAAGTATTCGAATACCACACAAAAAGTATTTGAATACTTACTGGGCAGAATGCATAAAACGGTCATAAACGGCTAGTTTTCAATGGAAACACTATAAATACATTCCTTATGACCCTAAAACGAAGAGATCACCATTCCTACCCATCTTAAGGATGATTTGAGAGCTTCTACACTATCATTTGCATATTCTTTCATATCTTTCAAAGATCAAATATATTTGAGCTCATATCTTGAAAATCCATATACCCATAGTGCTTCAAGTTGTATATCCACACTTTGAGAGTATATATTCATTTCCTAATATTCCCCTTCTTGTATTCTTGAGTTGAAAGGATTGTGAGACCCATTGTTTGATAGGTAGCCAAATACCTAAGTAAATTTGGAGTAAATTGTAAGGTTACCAAGTACCCGTAAACTTGGAGATTGAAAGGTATCCAAGAACCCGAAATCTTGGAAGATTGTAAAGGTTTGTCAAGCACCCGTGAAGCTTGACCATTAGTGAAAGAGTTGATCGAGCGGCTTCAGTCTGGACGTAGGTCACAAGTGGTGGTGACCAAACCAGGATATATTGTGTTAGCAATTCTCTAAACTCTAAACTCTTTATTTCTAGCACTCTAATTCCTTATTTGATATCTTGTATGTGCTAGTATAAGTTCTATAATTGTGATATATTATATATTATGGATTGTCTGAATGTATTGATTAGATTTCCACATATCAAAGTTTGCTTGAAATAATTATTTAGAAACTAGAAGGGGTCTTTTGCGAAAATTTTGTAATACTCAATTCACCCCCCCCCCCTCTTGAGTATGGAAGCCACATTCCTAACAAGTGGTATCAAAGCCTAGTGCTCAGTTAGAGGTTTAACCACCTAGAGTTAAAGATCCTTTTTGGGGCTTCCAATATAATTTAATTTTAAATCAAACAAAAAAATGCAAGGCTTTGAATGTGATAAACCACCATTCTTTGATGGTGAGGATTTTGAATATTGGGTAAAAAGAATGGAAGTTTTTGTTCAATCAATTCATCTTTATATGTGGCATGTTGTAGATGAAGGTTTTTCGTTGAAAATAGAAGAATGCATGAATGATTTCAATAAAAGATGTTTTGTCTTCAATCTTGAGGCTATGCAAATGCTTAGAAAAAGTGTATATGATGATGCATATGCTAAGATTAAACATTGCATAAATGCTAAAGATATATGAGATACTCTTATTGCTATCTATCTTGTCAATGATGATTCTGTGCATAAAGATGCATATAGAGAGCAAGAATTGCAAAATCCATTGGAAGAAGAAAAAGATGATAAATGCACTCAATAAGGGATCGAAAGGGATCAAAGAAGCTCAAAACCTCTTTGTGACAATGATGACATTCAACTTGAGGTAAACCTTGATTATAATCCTTCACATGATAATTTGCAATGTGCGTACGATGATTTGAATGATAGCTTGTTGAACTTGAAAATAGAAATTTGGCTTCAATACAAAGTATTTGCTTCATTGAAAATCAAATTGAATCTTTAAAAAATATATATGATTTTCAAGAAGAGAACATATCCTTGAATTATGAATCCTCAACCATTCTTAAAAATTGCATTGATGTTGATAATCAAGTTGAAGAACTATCATCCAAATTTTCCATAATTGATAATCCTATATGCTCATATTCCATGTTTGAAAATGAAAATAATAATGATACTTTTGTACATGGAAAACCTATAAATGATTGTGGAAATAATAGTTTGGATAATGATAATAGCAAGAAAGTCAGAAATTTGAAAGTTGAGAACAAGTTATCTTGCAAACACACTGTATGTAATTATTGTGGTAAAGTATGACATATTTCTCATTTGTGCTATCATAGAAGAAATTCTTGTTTGAGAAATAAATCGGTTTGGGTTGTCAAAAATTCTATAAATGTTATTCCTAACCCTCAAGGATCGAAGATGAAATGGGTACCAAAAAGTCCTCCTAGCATTTCGAGTGTGCAAAAAATTATTCAAAATGATGGACAAAAAGGTCAGGAGAAAAAGGAATCATCAAGGAAAATGCTTCCTATGTCCAATGATGGAATTATCAATCAAAGAAGTAATGGAACTACAGCCAAAGCTTCTCACATGCGCAAGGTGGAACCTAAAGGTTCAAAATCCAAAGAGAGAAGCAATGGGTTAGAAAAAGTCTTCACTTGATTACAAGGGCCAAGGTATCAAATATCATTACCTCTTATGCTTATTCACATGTGAATCCAATGAATATGAGGTATATATCCTTTAGGCCTTAGGTAATGGATAAAATCGTATGTGCTTGGTTTAAATGTTGAAAATTATGAATGGCACATGATTATATCTATAGTTGTTCACTTATATGTTGATTTCTGACACATCTGAATTGTTTTACGCATATCTTGAGTTACAGAAATCATTTTTAAGTGAGACCAGTGGTCCTTGAAAGCTATCTTGATAAACATTCATTCTGGAAATTTTCATAATTTTTAGTCAAGGATAATGCTCCCAGAAATCTCGTGAACATGACTGTTCTGTCATAAACTCTGTTTTTGACTAGTTTACTTAAAATGAGCATAACTTTAGTTATACAAATCCTTTGAGCATGAAACTAGTGGCATTACAAAGATAGCTCAATCAAGTTTAATACTGGAAATCTTTAGAATTGTTGTATATGTACATTGTTCCAGTTGGTCAGGTGGTATTCGAATACTTTTAAGTAGTATTCAGATACTTTTTGTCTCAGTATTCGAATACTTGATGTTGAAGAAAAGTATTCGGATACTTTTAATAAAGTATTCGGATACTGCAGTACACAATCATTTTTCCTACAACATAACTCTTACAAAACCCATATATATATACAGGGCTTTTTGTATGTCATTTTAAATAACATAAGTTATGTCATTTTAAGAGAGATAGACACAAAGAATTAGGGGTGTTCGCGGTCTGGATTGGATCAGTTTTGGAAGCAAAATTCATCCGATCTAATCCTTTCAGTTTGATCATGTATCATCCATTCGGTTTAATTTTTTTTTTCAAATCCGATCTGATCCAATCCAATTTTTTTCGGTTTGGATTGGATCGATTTTCGGTTTTTTGAAAATCCTAAAATTTGTTTCATGATTATTGTACAAATAACATCTTTTGTATATATTGATTTTGTAATTTTTATTTTTTTTATTTAAAATACAAAAGCATTAGGAAACGGTAATATAGTTTTTTTTTTACAATGAGATATGAAGCTCTTCATAGATGAAATTTTGTTAATGAGATGTGATTAAGTTTTTTCTTGGGTTTAGTTGATAAGTTAATGGGTCTTGGGCTTAAAAATTTGTGGGTTATAATTGGAAAAAGACCCAAGTAAGTAGAATAAAATTAATATATTGGATCGGTTTGGATTGGATCGGTTTTAATCAACCCATCCAAAATCTGATCCAATCCAATTAAAATTTGCGGGTTTTTTTCGGTTTTCGGTTTTTCGGTTTTCGATTTATTCGGTTATCGGTTTTTCGGTTCGGTCTCCGCGGTTTGAATCGGTTTGGATTGGTTGATAAACACCTTTACAAAGAATAGAAATCATACGAGAGAAATTAGGTGATTTTTTTTAATTTAAATTTTAAATAAAAAAATATTTTTTTGTGTCTATATCTCTCTTAACATAACATAACTTTATGTCATTTAAAATGAAAAATACTTCTCCCATATATATATATATATATATATATATATATATATATATATATGTAGGATCCTTTGACACCAGTATCAAATTTGAAATTTGACACATCATCTTATAGCCGTTAGATCGAAAAAGATCAATGGTATCACATGCTTACAAATCAGAGTCATTGATCTTTTTTGATCTAACGGCTCTCAGGTACACCTGTGTCAAAAGATCCTACCTTATATATATATATATATATATATATATATATATATATATATATATATATATAGGGGCAGATTATATTTACAAACTTTTTTGTTTACAAACTACACTATGTTTCTCCGGGAGAACACTAGTTACACTATATTCTTCCGAGAGAAGACAGTGTAATTTGTAATAATTTGTTAAAAAAGTTTGTAAACGGATCCTTTCTTATATATATATATATATATATATATGGGCTTATCGTTTCTCAAGTTGCTTGAGATAATCTTATCTTCGGTTACTAAATCATAACCGTACAAAGAGGATCAATAGTGATAAAAAAAGAGAGAGAAAAAGAGAATCATAACCATTCAAAGTTGAATCAATTGATATAAGGAAATAAATAAATAAAACGACATAGTAGTTTTGAGATAGCCAGAGATAAACTTATCTCAAGCTGATTGAGAAATATTTTTCCCACTATATATATAAACACATGCAAACACTGAAATATGAAAAATTCAGGGATAGCCAGAATATATGCCTTCGGGCTAGTGTTTGAGAACTACAAAATACATTTGTGACTGCGAGGAGAAAAATAATACTTGTAATCGTGTTGGACGGATGAATTAATTGTGGGTCTTTTAGTGAAACAAGAATTAAGGTGGATCACCGTGACAGAAGATTACAATTTACACTCAGTACAGAGTGCAAAATCAAGCTGATAGAAAGTGCCAGGCTCAAGAAAAAGCATGTCAAGGATACGAAATCTTCACTAGGAGGTCGTTTCAGAGGACCAAAACTACAGACCAGACAATTCTAAACATTTTGTAATGGCCTCATTAGCCTTTTGTGGTTCAGCCCTTTCTTCTCTTTTCTTCTTCTCCCTGAAGCAAAATATCATTTCAATGAATCAAAATCTTTCTGAGGAAAACAAGCAAGTTATAACTATAACTGTAAATCTGTCACATCTATTAGACTTTGACTCTTGAAAAAAAATATTCAGACTAAGGGTATCAAATTCAGGAGGCTGAGAATTTTATTGACCAGATGGAATATCAGATTTTGCCTACGATCTCTTCTATATGAAAAGAAAATTCATAATAGAATGTTGAAGGTTCAATTTAGGGGCTTAAACAAATTAATATTTAATAGATTTGCAACTTCACTTCAAACTGATGGCTATGCATGGAAAAAAAATTCTAAAGTTTTTACATTCAACAATTATATCACATATGAAAAGCCATGAGAGCAAAGAGGATGAGAAAAAAAACTGAATGGCATTGAAAGGTTTGATGTTTTACCTTGCAACATATTCCTTTAGCAGCTCTTTTGCTTGAACCAACTTGGAAAGCAGATTACGATACACATCCAAATCTCGATCAACACTTCTTTTGTCAATGTTCAAAGCCGCACAAAGCTGTGGGGTTGACACCAAACATTAATTGATAATTAATCCTACAAGCATTTAATTAAACGTATGAAATAGATACTTTTACAATCTTGATATTGAGAGCCTTCATTGGAGGAAGACAGATCACTTCAAAATATGTTGGAATTTCTTGATTTGTAGTTTGCTAGAACTTGTGTAAATGAGAACTAGACTTGGTAGGTTCAACTTTAAATTGCAAAAGCAAAATACTATAATAAGATGATTATTTGAGTTAAATTCAAATCATAAGCCATGATGCCTTAAATGAATTGGGTAACCTTTTCCAAAATTGTTGGTTCAGTTGCTTTTGCCAACTCAAGAAGACGAAAGAGGCCTACTGCAAAGAAACGACTATAACTGAATTCTCCCTTTCCTCTTGCTCTTTCTGCAATATCCTTTAAAATCCCTTCAACTTCTCCTTCTTTGGATGAAAACTCAACCAGGGAAGTTGAGTTTTGAGCCCGAGCCCACTCTTCCAACTTTTGTGCATCTTTTCTGTAGAGGGTAATATAAAACATCATTTGATGTAAGATTAAATAAACCCTCAGATGCAAGTTATACAAATCCTCTGGAAAACAAAAAATGACATATATAATGCTGCTTTCATTTCTGCTAAAAATATTTCCTTTAGGTACATTTTCTTGAGATGCAACCAAGTACTATACTTGCCTTATGAAAAATAGTTCAATGTACTATATTTTAGTATGCAGATTAAAGTTCATAGTTTTTAGTTTTCAATCTGCAACAATCATCAAGGACATTAATAATACTATGATGGTAGCTTAGTTCAATTGCAATAGAATTGTTCAGAAAACTCCATCAGGATTAATAATATGATTCTCAAGCACACCACTAGATTCTGGTGAACATAGTCTCCAGTGGATTACAGCCATTATTATTCAATCATCGAGTCATATGTTTAGAGCAGGAATCACAAAAAAATAAATAAATAAAGAACAATAAAGGAAAGCTAAATTACTCAATCTTGTAACCTGTATTCTGCTGGATCTTCCTTCAATGCCTGAATGTACGCTTGGAAGATGGCATCTCGGTCCTCATCACTAGGATACCCTTCCATGAGTTGATCATATACAGTGACAAAACCAAGAGCAAATACAGGGTCATAACGATATGATCTCTTGTATCTCATTAAATGTTGCTGGACAATGAGCTCCTGCAGCACAGTGTTGTAGATACTAGGAATTGGTCGCTTATATGTCTTAAGGAAATTTAACTTTGTCTCAGAAACAGTGGGAACATCTGCAGATCAAGTACATAGAAACCCATGACCAACTATTGATAATAATAAGGTTTATTTTCTACTTTTACTTATTCTTCCCTTTTAGGCACTATGTGTTAGAACTTAGAAGGATGAAAGAACCTAATGTGGAACTGTTCACACCATAGCATACATAAGGTAACCAAAGCAAAAGCATGTTCAAAAACTTTAAAGAAATCATTCCCCTATTCTCACATTTGATATGAAAACCAAACAAAGGCACGAACCTGTCACAGAAGACATGCATTGAATAACCATCTTAGATGTTGAATTGGAAGCTCGAACACCCACATAATGGTATGAGAAATGGGTCCGAAAACCAAAGAGCTGGGAACTAGAAGCAAGGAAACGAGTTGAGGACAGAGTTACTTTTCTTTCTGAACATTGAGTCACTGCTGAGAAAGACAGAGAAGTGAGAGCAGCCATCGGTGGAAATGGAAATGCAAATGCAACACAAGAGAGAGTGTAGAGGCAATTGGAATCAGAAAGTGTCCTTCATGGGAGGACAAAATTCAGAGGTCAGAGAAGACCTGCATTGCTTTCAAACTTTGTGTTGGAAACAAGGCACAAGAAAAGAAATAAAAAGCTTATCCACATTGTGAAGTCTCAAACAGAAACTGAAACCTTTTCTTTGTCAACTTTCGAAGGAGCCGCTGATGTAATGACACGTTGAAATTTGGCAGTGACACTGGTTTTCTAAACTAAATTATAAAAATAATAACTATAATTTTCTCTGAAATTTGTACCCGCTGTCATACCAAATGACCAATTTCCGAGGTTGAATTTTCAAATCAGAACATGAATTCTTTTGTAACAGTAAGGCTATAAATTTTAGGAAAAAATAATGCAAATAAGTTATTTGTATTTATTTTTAAAATGATGTTATTTTGGTATTGAAATTTTAAAAATTATAAATATAAAGACTATTATAATCCTGAAATAAATTAAAATTAGAAAAATATCATAATTTTCATCTTACTACATATAATTATCTGTAATAACTGTAAAAAAAAAATCCTAAATTTTATGTAAACTTTGAGATTTGCTGAATTTATATTAAAAATATGGAAAAATAATTTTTCCTTTTAAAGTATGTAATTTATGTCTTTTTAATAATTTTTAATTATATATTAAGGGTAATACATAGTTATAAGAGATAGGATCCGTTTATAAATTTTTTTTTTTGCAAATTACACTAAGTACGACCGGTCGTACACTACATGATTAAAGTAGGACCGGTCGTACTTAGTGTAGTTTGTAAACAGAAAAGTTTGTAAATATAACATGCCCCTAGTTATAATATTAAAATTATATTTTAATATTATAAATATGTATTATTTTTAATACATAATTATAAATTACTAAAAACACATAGGATAAACTTTTAACCCTAAAAATACTTATGTAGTTATGTACAGAAGATGTTGTCACAATATTTTTGCAACTTGTTAGAGGAAGCTAGCTTGCCTCTCTCTTGTGGTATTTGATATTTCTCTCTCTAACTTGTGGTTGAAAGTTGAAAGTTGAAACTTGAAAGGGAGCTGAAAGCAGATTGATTTTGGACCAGTCACATTCACATATGGCATATCTTTGTTGTATTATATATTGGGTTTAATAAGAGTTATGTTGTAGGAAAAGTGATTGTGTTATGTTATAGAGATTCGTTTTGCGTGCCAGAATTTTTTTTTTTTTTTGGTTTCAAAAATTGTGGGTCCCACGAAATGTTGTGTGTGTAGGAAAGTTGTTGTGGTCATGTTAAATGATAGATACAAAACCCTTATATATTAAGTTGAAAAATGAAAAAGAGGTTTGAGAAATTCCATATGCGACTCGGTCCATTTGGCGGTTTCAGTGAGAAATTCCTTATTACTGCCAGAACACCAAATATGCTTTTCAATCTTTTATTATTTGACCAAGATTTTGATATGGATTTTACTTAGCGAAATGTGTTTATCATGATATAATTTGTCTCATGCAATACACATAAAAGTGAATGAGACTCATTTTTTTTCTTTTTCTCTTTCCTTCTTAGTGGATTCCACCTATTTTTGTGTGTGTTGCATGAGACAAATTGTCTCATAGAACATGAGAAAAATCAAATCCTTTTACTTTTCCAGTAAGTAATATTTATCCGATACATTTATATTAAATTAAGTGAATTTTATTAATTTTTTTCTCTTCTTTTTATAATAAAATTCACTTACTTTTACGTGAACGTGGCATTTTTTTGAGCAAAAATATTTTTCCCTTTTGTTATTTGCATAATAGTTTTCTTCTCAGTCAAGTGAGCCTTGTCAATGAATTGAAAAAAACAAGCATTTATCTATTTAGCAAGCGCAAGGTACCGTGGAATTCAAAGGAACATGTTAGTCTACTTTTAATTTGTTAACTACCAACATTACGATAATAGTCTCACTTTGAAAGGAAAATCTCAAGTGGACGATTGTTGCTTTCCTCACAAGGTAAACCTTGGGTTTTATAATAGTTATGTGGTAGGAATAATGATTATGTAATATTATAAAGATTCGTTTTGCGTGTCGTAATTTCTTTTTTTTCTTTTTTCTTCAAAAAGTGTGGGCCCCACAAAATATTGTGTGTGTATAAAAGTTTGTTGTGTCACGTTAAATAACAAATGTAAACCCTGTAAACCTTGTCTTAAGACCATAAAATAAAATTTATAAGTGGAATGAGAATGACCCTGCTTGGTTACACAGGCGCAACCTTGTTGATCTTGAGGGGCCGTGGTCCTTTAATTTAATTTAATTTTTTTCATTTTTTAAAAGAATATTTATAATTTGACCGCAATCAAAAAGTTTTAGAGTCATTACGTCAATAACAGTAATGTTGATGCTGTGGTAGGTTCAAAAAAGCAGAAGAATCGCATAGAACTGTGATGTACTTGAGTCGCTTTGTATGTGTAACTTGATAAAGTTATTTACTGAGGGCGTAAAGAACTGGAATTGAGCTACCTCCCCAAAATTGTAGACTTTTTTCTAATATGACTTTACAAAATTTTCACTCTTATCAATATATCTCTGTCCATAAAACAGAATTCCAGAAGCTATGAATTATGAGAGAACGCTATTATATGGTGAGGTTCATTATTGGTCTAGCGTACTCTACATAATATTCTACATCCCCTTATGCTCTGTCTCTGAATAAAGCATACACACTAGCACTTGGCTAGCAATTACTGATAAACTTATATAGTACATGCCTTATATGGTTATTTCAGGCTATTCCACGACACAAAATACATATACATAGAAAAATTTTATTTGGGACCCCAACAAATGAGATGCATAAGCTTTTCAGCCCTCTCTGCTTCCTTCAAAATGCACTTCCTATCTGCTCCAACCATCTTTACCTTCTCTTTATCACCAGAAAAACGCTGAACACGAAGGAACTTGTCACTGTTCCCACTTTTCATCCCAGGCATGAAGCCCTTTGATGCCTGATCTTTCATGACTTGAAATCTAATATTGGGCTTCTGCCACTCTCTTGGGATGAGCTCTCAATATTGAAGAGTTTATATAGATAGATATATATAGATAGATAGATAGATATATTCTAAGCCTTTCTTTTTGTGTATGAAAATATAATTCTAGTTGAACGAAAGGCCACTCCAATTCATCAAGACTATGACGTTGGAATAAAAACGGTGGCTTTTCTAGTTTAAGTAAACATTCATGTATTAACAAACAAAGCTAATGACCTATCTCGAAACTTTACACTTTATATATAAAATGTTGTTGTAAAAGGACGTGTTTGAATTTAGTAATTCACAGTTTAGACGATTAGGATGGATAATTAATTAAGTAAAGATGATGATCATTGCGACTGCCATATTTGAATTTATATGCATATACTGATACATATCAAGTGTGAAAGTGCTATTCAACGTTCACTATGCAATAAAATACAAACATCAACTAAATATACTGTATTGAACAAATGACCCTTATATTCGTTACCTTTATTCATAAATTTATTTTAATTCCTACACTGCTTGTTTTAATTCTGGTGCAGGAATCTCAATATGTATGTAGGGGTGTTGGCGGTCTGGATTGGATCGGTTTTGGAAGAAAAAATGTTAGGAGAAGATCACCTTTGATCTTATCCTTTAGCAACTAAGTCCTAGTTTTTAGCAAGAATAGTTTGTTATTATTCCATGTATAGTTTGTTGAACAGTATACTTTATTCTAGTTGATCCTCCTTGATTCTGTATAACCGACTTGTGTATATATTGGCTATCAGCCATTTCATTAAATATAACAACATATTCAAATCCTCTTAGTTTTCTATATGGTATCAGAGCGAAGGTATCGATCCACTTTCCCAATGGCTGATTCTGATTCAGATTCTTCCGCTGTCAATATCAATGCTAATGACAAGCGTCCCAACCCATTCAATTTTTCTGCATCACAAACAGCAGCTGCAACACCTATAGTGTCCAACCAAAACTCGATTCCCAACCTGAGTCCTGAGCTTCTACAGCAAATTGCCAACATGGTTGTTTCCTCCACTACACCGTCTGCTAACACTACATCCCTTTCTGGTAATCACACTCTGCCTTCTACCTGGTTGGTGGATAGTGGCGCTTCTCAACACATGACAGGGAACCTCCATTTAATCTCCAATGTTACATCTATTCCACCCACTACAATAGGTTTACCTGATGGTGATCAATTTGTTTCCAATCACAGTGGCAGTCTCAAGTTGACATCTCATATTTCTTTTCAGAATGTGTTATATGTTCCCAAATTACAATGCAACCTCATATCAGTTGCTCAATTACTTGCTGATACAAATTGCATCATTTCTTTTACTCACAATGGCTGTGAATTGCAGGACCCCATAACGAGGATCAAGACTGGACTGGGTAGATTGCAAGCTGGTGTTTATGTGCATGACTCATCCAACAACAAATCCATCTCTACTGCATGTGCGGCTCACACTCAACAGAATGCAGATGTTTGGCACCGTCGATTGGGTCACCCTTCATTTCAGTTTTTAAGCTTTCTTCCTTTTGTTACAGTGAATAAAAATAGGGGTCATTCTCCTTCAGTTTGTGACATTTGCCTACGCGCACAACAAACTCGTACTGTATTCCCTATTAGCATTAATAAAACTACTGCATGCTTTGATCTTATTCACTGCGATATCTGGGGTCCATATCAAACTACCTCTCTAACCGGTGCAAGATATTTTTTAACAATTGTGGATGATTATAGCAGAAACGTCTGGGTTTATTTAATGACCACCAAGTCTGAAACGTTCCAATACTTAACTCGATTTCTTCTCATGGTACGTAATCAGTTTAATACCATGGTCAAAATAATACGCTCCGACAATGGATCAGAATTTTGTGCTCATAATCTCCGCAAGGTTTATTCCGATATGGGAATTATACATCAAACATCATGTGTAGACACACCACAGCAGAATGGTCGTGTTGAACGGAAACATAGACATATTTTGAATGTTGCAAGAGCATTACGCTTTCAAGCTAGTCTTCCTATCAAGTTTTGGGGTGAATGTGTTCTAACTGCCGTACATTTAATCAATAG